ATCGGGCAGAGTTTGAAGGATGCTAGAAAACACTGCACATATTTTTTCAAAACTCCTGAAAGAGTAAAATCAAAATCTTTGCAAGAGTCAGCAGGAGAGGCAAGTTCAGCAACAGAAATCTTCCACAGAGATTCAAGTCTATTTTCAGAGACCTTTTCTTACCTTCTTCCCACAAACAAAACAACTTGAGGCAACAAAATCCTGTACCAGCTTTTCATTCAGCAGGTTAGCGGTCACAACCCTGATAGATATCCATCAGACAATCAAGCCAGGATGGAACTCCTCAAGGAGAAAAAGAGCCCCTGTAACCAGAACCTAGCAGGGACCCTCTGTGTCCAGGTCTCTATCTGCCTGGTTTTCATCTGGCCTGTCTGGGGAACCCAGAGACTTTGCCAAGTGTGTGAGTTAACAGGTGATTCAAGTTCTGGGGATGTGAATTCTTTTACTAACTTTGCATGGCCAGTGTGAAGAAGTCTACATCTCTGCTGATAATCCAAGACTGCTTTTATAACCAGACAAAAAAGGCACAGGCATAAGCAGTGACCTTCCTTTCAAGCAGAAACAGACATTGAAAACAGGCTAGTCAAACAACATACCAGCACTGTCTAATTCTCTCCATCAACAATAGAAGCAATTCCGAATGAGTAGCTCAGATGCCAATGTATGTATTTCAGAGCTGATAAACCACAGGTTAAATTTCCAGAAATTAACCACCACAAAAAGTATCAGAACTAGACTCCAGGCACACAGGTCTTCTGAATTTCCACTCACATGAAACAATTCACATGTATATGATCTGCACGGTCAGCCGGTTGGCTGATGAGTCACTTCAGTGGGCTGCACATCTGACAAGGGCTCTGGTTGCTGGGGCAAGTCACCTTGGCAGGAGGGAAGTCCACAAGGAAATCCTTCATGCTCAACCCCCAGGACAGCACCACTAGCCCAGGGCTTCTGCATGGCTGGGAGACACTGCTGGCTCTTGGCTTCAAAACTGGCAACATCAGATCTTGCTGCTAAGAGGGTGAAACCATGGGCACACACTGGTCCTGCGATGGTGGAAAGGGAAGGGGTTGAGCTGGCTGGGAGGACCTGGTGCTCACCGACACCCTTTCTGCCTCTGCCCAGGAACTGCTACCCCAGGAACTAGGGCTTTTGGGGGGTCCCAGTTTCCTCTCTGGCAATCCATGAACACTGGTGGTATTGCATACACTCAAATTCAGAAAATCTGTTTTCAGCCATCGTTTGTAATTGATCTCAAGCCCTGAAGCTTTGTCGTGGTTTAAACCCAGTCAGGTAACTTGTTCACTCACTCCCAGTGAGTGGTGCCGAGCTGACAACAACCAAGGTCCGTGTCCGTCTCCCCCCCCCCCCTGCACCGGGGCTCTCCCCTTCCCCGCTCCCGGAGGAACGGGGAGGAGGATCGAGAGAGTGCAACTCCTACGGGTTGAGACAAGAACAGTCCAGCAACAAATCACCACCGCTACTATCAGCTAAAACAATGATAAGGGAAAATAACAAGGGAAGAGAATACGATACCACCGGCCAAGAAAACGAGTTCCACCCGGAAGCCCCTGTCCTTCCGGGTAACTCCAGTTACCCCCCACCCCGGGCATGACGTGCTGTGGTATGGAATACCTCCCCGGCTAGCCCGGGTCAGACGCCCCGTCTCTGCTTCCTCACAGCCTCCCCTCCTCCCTGGCAGAGCATGAGCCTCACAGAGTCCTTGGTCAGGGTAAACATCACTTAGCAACAACCGAAAACATCGGCTTCACCAACACTGTTCTCAAACTAGAAGTCAAAACACAGCACTGCACCAGCTAACACAAAGGAAAAACATGACTGCTACTGCTGAACCCAGGACAAGCTTCCATCCCAGGCAGCCCTTCCTCCCTGAGCTAACTGCTGGTACCACTTCGGTGAATCCCCCCAAAAAGAAACAGGAACTTTGAAAGAAACAACATAGGCAGAGACAGAGACAACAGGACCAGATCCAACTCAGCTTCCAAACTACAAATAACATTTCTTTCTCCAGCAAAGACCACACTGACACAGAGCATTAGGTACGCACTATAGATAATGCTACACAAACTATGGCCTCCAGGCAGGGGAGGCAACTGTAGATCTTCCTGCAAACAGAAACAACACAAATGAATGGGGAATGGGTAGGCCCTCTTCCAGGTGGCACAGCATGGGAACTCAGCTCTGTGTTTCAGGGGCAGTGAGTGAGAATTATATGCAGGGATGCTCAGGGCTATTGTAGGAACATGGGACGTCTCCTGCAAACTTGCTAGAATGGCCTGAGAATTAGCCATGCATCACTGTGTCATCATCTAATGTTGCTGTGCCACATGATTCCAACCCTGGTTCCAGGAAAACCACCATTTGGGATAAATATCATGAAGACAACTTCTTATAACCCCAACTTTCCATTTTTTCCCACCCCTCGTAAGACTCTCACATGGGTCACTTCTGTTACCTATCACCTGCAAACATCACATGTGACGTTGCACTGTATTTTCTGTAAATACACTTTTCTTGGATCAATTCATATGAAAATAAAATGTACTTCATCAGCCACTGAGACATGTTCTTTATCTTATTTTTAAATCCAGCAAACTAATGCCGCCTTAAAAAAGAACCAAAGGCAGCAATTATTCACCACACTCATTAACAACAAAAACTCGTTTTCAGCCATTTCAGTCACCCTTCTGAAATTACACAGTTAGTTGTTGGTGCCAGATTCCCATTTATCTCAAGAGCCTTTTGTAACAACAACAAACAACAGCTTCTTCTTCATTTATCTGGCTTCCCATAAGAGGAAGAACTCATGTTACAAAGGAAGGGCCACATAATCATGCCCTACTAGCTCAAGGGACATGGGACTTTTACAAGTCCCTTAGAAATTTCAATATACACAACACCTGGGAGAGTTATGAAAAGCCCAAGGAAAACAGTCTGATCTTGGTAACAGAAGAAGTACTAATGAGTGCAGGACAATAGACAGGCAAATAAAAAGCAAAAGGAGAAGTGTACTGAGAGCCAAGTTATCAGCTGTCCTGTAACAAGAGAGCAGGTGCAGGTCTGCTCTGCTGCCCACCAGCTCCATGCATTGTCCCACTGAAGCTCATGAAGCCACCCCAGAAGCTGAAGCTGTTGCAGAGGTGAGAAATGCAACTCCTCTGTTTCTGCTAAGCAGACCACTCCAGTCCTCTCCTCCGCAAACTGAAGTGATGTTCCCCTCACTGCTACGTTTCCTCACGGGCAACATGCATGCGTCATTCCAGTGAAAAGCTGCTGAGAGAGATTCAGTGACACGTCAGTCAGGCACACACAAGACAGCCCTGAATTCCCTCTTTCTTTAAACACCCCTTGCTAGATTTTTACTTTTTACATGCATGAAATCAAGACTTTTCGTCTTTTTCAGGGAGGATAATGTTTAATTTACAATGGCCTGCTAGCACCATGAATTTTGCATGACAGAAGCCCCATTCCACAACATCGTTAAACCTCTCCTCACTAGTCAGCAGGGCCCTGATCCGTCAGCCAGGAGATGTGGCATCTCCCCGTGGGAGCCCTGGCATGGGGGCTGGCTCATGTTGCCCACAAGCATTCTCCCTACTGACCACCACTGAAAACACAGCCTGCCCTGAAGCATTATCGCCATAGAGACTGTTCCAGGAGACAGATCCACTGCATCAGCTCCCCCACAAACACTTCCCACAAAATCCACCACCCCCCCCCCCGCGCAGGCTGTTTGGAGATACACGGATGTGAGCAGAGGGTGGGCAGGTCTAGCAGAGCGTACTATCTGCTGCAAGGCCTCTGGAGGTTGCAGATAAGCAAACACAGGCAAGAGCAATGCTAAGGGCATAGATCTATAAGCAAAACAAGCCAGGCAGCAGATCAGACTTACCTTTCCACGATTTTGAGTCTAGTGCAGAATTCTGTTGATGCCTGTGGAGCTATGCCTGGAATAAGTGTTCAGAAAGGCCAGCCTTTACAGTAAAGCAGCCATATACAACTTTCAACTAGCCACAGAAGATTAGCTAGGTTGGGGATTACCCAGATACTGCCTCTCAACAGCAACCACAGCTACATGACCATGTCATTTGCACATGTAACACAGGGCACACTAGCTTGAACCCAAGCAGGTTAAAGCTGTCCCTGTTCAGCACAGAAACCAGCAGGCTTGTTATATACCTTTCACAGGTAGAAGACCCAAGTATGTTCTTACCCGTTAACTAACATATAGTTAGGACTAGCCAGTATCTGGTTTTATCTCGGTTACCCATTCCACATTGTCTGTGATAGCTGAAAGCTGACAATATCTAAGTGAACCAGACAATGCTGAAACAAGAACTCGCTGTGGAGCCTGCAAAAGCTGTCCCAAGTGTTAGGCAGCTGGTGTGCTGACACCGTTGCCTATGTGCTGAGTAATGATGTCTCGCTGTTTCTTTGTGCTCTCTTACCCATCTCTTTCCATCTGTTGTTTCTTGTCTTCCACTTGGATTGTATGATGTTCATAGCAGGGCATTCTGTTAGCACCCAGCAGACAATCTGTGACAGGGCACCACAAAATCAGTCTGATTGACTTGTGTGAGACATCAGTGAATTAGAGTTGATGTTGTACAGGAATGTGTATATGTCATATGAATGGGTTAAGCATGGTGTGTCTGGATGGGAAACGTGACTCAGAAGTGTTACTAACAGTAATTCTTCTCCTGTCCATACATATAAGGAGGAAATGGAAGAAATGGAATGGGTAGAAAAAGACAGAAAGGCAAAAAGACAGCAGGCTGTTGGGCAAGCCTCCTCAAATATAAACACACTAAATTACAGGTACACAGATCAGATGCTGAGAAGAGCTGAGCATTTGCAACTCCCACACACATTCCCATTTCTTCATTTATAGCTATTAACATTGCATGCTTTTCCATTCTGTTTTTGCTTCATCTGTCACATAGATAGACCAAGACTTGGATCTTATCTTCCTGACTTACTGGCATATCACGTGCATACACAGCTACACCCACAGGTCGAAGCATCACTTTTGCTGCCTTCTGTACATGATGATAGTGCAACTACGCTAGTCACCAGGACAACAGTCACAGCCTGTCAAACTGATAAGAAGTTGGTCAGCTGGGTTCATGCTCTGAGAGAGAGCAAGACCAAGGCAATAAATATAATACACAGTGGTGAACTGCAAATGGCAGTTAGTTTTCCCCTTAGGGAGCTGGAATGATAACAAAAATGAAAGCAACAAAGAAAGAAGAGGGTCTGAAGAGACTTGCTGTTTAACTTTTAAAGCTCCACAGTTAATGGGAAATCGAAAGCATTCAAATAAGACACAGGACTGGAGCTCAGATATGGAGCTTATCTCAGCCCTCCCATGCAAAAGGTGCAGATTTGAACCCACATAGTCCCAAATTTCCAAAAGTGACCAAAGCTATTGTCATGCCAGTGGGCTCAGAGGTTGTCCCTGCTGGACATCAAAGCAGGGGCAACTGAAAGAAATAAACATTATATTCTAGACATTCTCGGCTGCTAGAATTGATTCTCCCTAGCAGCAGCCAAGACTACCTCATGCCAGAACCCAAGGTGTCTCCTGGCTGAATCCTCCCTGCTGCAGGAGGATGAAGCTAGCTCTTTCCACAAAACAGCCCCACCAAACAGCACTGAGCCGAACTTAGAACTGGGGCATGCCATTCAAGAAAACTATTTTGCCAAACAGGCATATGGTAAATACGGAGATCAAGTTATAAATCCAATCTTTTCAGTCCTGCCAAAGTTCAGGGAAACACAGAACTGGTATCTCTCATGTTCAGTCATATGACTTCAAGGCCCACAGTCCATAGACCATTTTGACAGTGCAGAAAGAGATATGAAAGACAGTCTGAAAAGAAAACCAGTTGTAACTGGAAGACAAGTCCATTTTATCATGTTATCTATAGCCTATGGCAGGGGGGATGTTATAGACTGAATTTAACAAAGTGGCAAAGCCTTGTCAGGACAAGAACGAACTGCATAGGCAAGTGAAGTTCAAGCACTCTGATAAGGGCATTCCTTGTAAAACTGTATCCCTGTCTCTTTAAGGGATACTCACAGACACAGCAGGGCTTCTGTCAGAGCAAAGCTTGCATTAGCTATGTTCAAAATGTGGTCTGGAAATGCAGGTCACACTGGTCAAGCTCTAATCTAAATGGGAACAGGGGAGGAATACAAATGCTGTCCTGCTGTATGACACAGGATCAGGTAGACAGGTCAGCCAGTGATGAAGGAGTAGGAGATAGTTAAAGGTCTCCTCCCCACCTCTGCTCCGCAGTCCTTCCTAGACACAGAGGAAGAACTTCAGCCTCTTTTTTGCTGTTTCCCAGATAAGATTCAGCAGTGAATTCTCTTGTTAGAAAGGTGCTCCAACACCCAGCCACTCTTCCCTATCCCCTAGCCTGCACGTTAGGGAATAGGGAACTGCATAGCCAGCTGCACAAATTACTTGGCTGGAGCTGAGATAGACACAACAGTCCAACACATCAAGGCCTTTCTGAGCACAACAAAGCAACTCCACAAAACAGAAAAATGTTGCCAAGGCCATATAGGTGGGTTTCTTGCATTTGTCCTGCATCTCAGTCACAACAGGCAGGCGTAATGCAGGGAGACAAAGAGGCCTTTCTCAGCAAGCAGTGTGGTACTGCACTCCTGGGTCACCTCAGGCTACAGTCTGTCTGCCCAGTCCCCTTTCCCCTGTTTTGAGTGTAGCTACATCCTTTCTGTATCAAGATGTGGATACTTAATGCACGCTCACCTTTGCCCTCAGCTACAAGCTGTTTCTGCTTAGCTAATGCTTTTTTTGGCAAGCTCAGCCAGGCAAGCCAGAGTTCAGTTTGCACCCTGATCAGCTGAAGCACAGATGACTGGCTCTGGGAAATGCTGCAGAGATATGGCCAAAATGAACTGAACTCACTTAAATGGAGCTGCAAATTGCTCTGTGCTGGGACTTGGCCAGCTTGACTGGGCATCCTGCCACAGCCAGAGGACAAATAAAATAAATAAATCAGGTGTTTCTTCTAAGCACATATTATCAAGAGGTTTTCAAAGCAGGATTTATAAATGCAATCCTGTCTGTCCTCAGAGCCTTAGCATGGACTGTGCACAATGACAGACCCTCTAAAAAGCTTTAAACACAGTGTAAGAAGGTAAGAGCAAGAGTTAAGATATATGGAGCTCTTCACAGTTCTGGCACAGCTCTCCCATGCAAGTGATGCACGCCAAGCTTTCAGAAGTGGTAAGAGAAAATGGCTAAAGCTTAGCTGGTCCTGAGTAAAGGCTTAAGAATTTAACTTCCTTTTATCTAGTAATTTTATTTATTCATTGGGAAGCAGCCATTAGTCAGTGCTCCATGAAAACAACTGCCATGGGAAACCTATGACTAACAACTCCCCTTTGATTCACTCATTCTCATTAGCAGGTTTTTGGAAGAATATGTTTGTAAGAATATGTTGCACAGCCTCTTCTGCAATAGCCCTGTGCAGAGTCCAGAGATGTAGGGAGACAAACCTCTCCAATACTGACCAGTCTTTCAAAGATCTCTCAGCAGAAATACGTAGGTTGGAATCACTATGGCAAACACAACACTGTTTGCAGACCTGGAGCACAGTAAGTAAACAGGCAAAATCAGCCAAATCTGCCACAACCCAAGGTAAGCTACAGAGCTGCCTCTTTAAGACCTTTGCTAGGGAAAGAGGAGACATTACTGAGCAGTTTACTCCATAGCAGCGGGTAACGAGGTTTGTGCTGACAAGCAACCCAGCTAGCAGGCTGTGACTTGGCAGCCCACCACTGCTTTGCCTGCTTCCCTGCTGCTCCATGGATTGAGTAAGCTGCAAGAGATCTGCCTGCACACGTCACAGCATATGCCTCCCTGAGCACCAGAATTAGCACGTTGCTGGACAAGGTGCAGGGGACAAGTCATTCACCCTGCTGCCCACCCAAACGCTTTGCAGGGTGCAGAACACCCTAAACTCAGGACTCTCTGCAGAGGAAGCAATGGGATGCCCTCATATCTGCGAGCGGAGACATTTCAGGCTTCACCTGTATGACTCAGCTGCTCACCACAAGTCTCTCTGGGAGCAGCAGTGGCACGGAGATTCCCAGTTTGTTACCTGTAAAATGAAAAGAAAGCTTATCAAAAGTGTGCTAGTAAACACCTTCCAGAGCATGCAGACTCACACAGAGGCTCACCCTCGCAGCAGATAATCTATCAAAACCCCTTGCTGCAGCACTGCTTGTCTTAGTGCACCATATATAAAAAAAAAAAAAAAAAAAAAGCAAGGAAAATGAGTGCCTTCTTTAGCCATAGCCACAGTAGCTGCTACTAACTAAAGCATCAGATATCTACAAACTAAAGTCAACCATTTATAAGCATACATCTTTGAAGACAAAAGTATTATATCTATATGCCATAATCAGGGATAAATGCACAAAGCTACTATCAGGAAAGACATCCCAGAAGTGAAGTCTCCAAGTTAAACTGGCACATTATCTGTGTGTAAAGTGGTGAATTTCCATGGACTTGAATGAGCTCCCAAGTATTTGCTTATAACTTTCAAGATCCCACCTGCACGCACATGCTCTCCCTAACTTGACCTAGAACAGAGAATTCCTCCATCACTTAGACATCTATTAATCTGTCCCCTTTGCAAACAAGCAGACATAAGAGGACCTGTATATTTATTACACACTTCTGAATAAGTCATGCCCAATATCTAGGACAAACAATACATTAAACCCTAAAAAACCCTTTGAAAGTTTTTTTCCTTCTGGAGACAACAATTGAAATGTAACATGATAGAAAGAGAACAGTAAATCATTCATGAGAAAGACTGAAAACAAACTGTGGGTGAGCTACAGCAAAGCAACACTGAAAACAGCCGGTCTCACTCTTCTCAAACTCTTGTCTTTCAGAGGGTGGTATGGTTGTGAGCAGCTTTAAAAGGCCCTACTTTGTGTACTTCAGTGCAGACAAGACATACCACATACAAAATCCATGGAGAACTGCACAACCATGAGTTATAGCTTATTCAGATGCCCCATGACTACATCAGGCACTGAAGCAAAAATGCTACTGTGCTTAGAAGTATTTGTGCAAATAAGGCTTAACAAAAAGGCATGTTAAGGACATGAGTGAAGTCAGTATAAATTAGATTCCCAAGGGCTGAATAATGTTTTATACCAGTCATCTCACTTACATGCACACAATGACTTTGGAATCCTAAAATCAAGTTCTGAAAGAGTCACACTGTCAAAATGTTTACAGCTACCACCTAATGTAATCCAGTGGTTGGTACCATAGTTTCCTAGATGAGTGTGGTAGCCACAAATCATGTTATGAGCATTTATTTTAGATCACTTCAACTCTGAGAAAATGCCTGTTTCAGGAAAGCTTGTTTCTCAAAACTATCTCAAGCAAAGGGCTCAAAACCAATCAATGGGGACAAGATTTGTTTCTTAGAGTCTTAACATCCTTGCGCTTCAAGGCAAAATTCAGCCCCCATTATGCACTTGAGCATTCATTGACCCAACTGTGTATCTTAAGGCCTTTCAAACACTGATTTTAAAAACAGTTCAAGGAGGTAATATTCTTGTAAGAAATTTCTGCTTTCAGTGTGTCTCCTGGGTTGATCTCAAAAAGAAAAAATCTACATTATAAGACCATGATAAACTACAGTCAATACCATGTCTGACTTGGATTCACATTCAGGGGTATTTTAGCCTTGTTTCTTAAACAAGCAAGATTTATGCAATCATGTTGTATGTATCCATGTGCACGTATGCACTCACCTGTCTCTTCAGCCCCAGCTACCCGCTCCTGAACTCCGTGGATAATTCCAAATACACTGATAGTCAGGTACATGAGGCATGGGTAGATGGCTAGAGTGAGACATTATTAGTGCTCTGAGCCAGGTTTCATTAGCCATGACAGAATCCCCAAAACCAGGTTTAACTGATTACACCACTCTTGGAAACCATGCGTGTTATCAGCTATTTTAATATTGCTACTGGTCTATGTAACATCCTAAGCATACTTAACACTTCACATGTGCAAACCATAGAACAAAGTTTCTGCCTCTATTTTCTTATTTTCAGTATCACTTTGTTTTTTGGCTTTTTTTTCTGCTTGGCCAGTAATTTGCTTTAGTAACATAAATATTTGAGCTGCAAACTACCAGAGCACTTAAAGACTTTGGCACTGCATTGCAGTCATATATTACTTGCTTCATTACAAAAGGTAATCCCTGTATTTTTATTAAGAGGCCTGCACCAGCTGCCTTCAAGCTTAAGGCAGAATATACCAAACAAGCAGCAAATTATGGATTACAACCTACAAATTCACATCATCCACTCCAAAACCCGAAATGCCCTGAAAAATACCTTTAGTGTTTCAAGAGAGGCAACTCTGTAAGGGGTATAAAATCAGACTTTGGAAACAAAACTTTTCCTGCTATATGTGTAGCTGTCTGTTTCCAAATATGTGGTTCTGTCCTCCAGGCCAAGCAGCACCTTCAAAGGTTTAGTTCTGGAGAATATAAAGATTTTCCTTTGCCTTCAAAACAGATCCTTCCTTTGCTTTCAGCACAAGCATCAGAGATACTTTCTCCTCTACTAGATCTGCCAGCAGAAGAACAAATATAATCCTTGGCTGGGTCTCAGTACTGCCTACAAACCCCAGCTCTCCCAGCAATGCCCTCATATTACTCTAAAGTAAAGAAACTCCTCCATGCTAAAATGAACAGAATAGAAGAGCAAAATGTGCTGCAACAAGCA